GCACTGCAAAGGGACCCAAAAGGTCCTGCTGGGTTTGGGGATAGAGTGTGTCCCCAGGGGTTCCTGTGCTGGAAGCTGGGTCCCTAGGGTGCTGAGAGGTAGAAGGACTTCAGAACATAGGAAGGGGGAGTTATGGCGCAGCAGGCTATGTCATCTCAACACCTGGGACATGACATCCTTTGTGGGAGTGTTGGTCCAAATTCCACCTACCCCCCAATCCAGCTCCCTACTGATGTGCCTGGGAAAGTAGTGGATGACGGCTTGGGTACTTGGGTCCTGTGGCCCACATGGCAGACCTGGAGAGAGTTGTGGGCTCCTGGATTTGGTCTGTCCCAGCCCTTACGAGTGTGGGCATTTGGGGAATAACCAGAGAATGGAAGATCTCTACTTCTCCATCACTTAGCCCTTCGAATTAAAATTAATAAATAAGTAAATCTTTAAAAAGACAGCAGCAGGGGGTGGGAGGTGATGGGGCCCTGTAGGAGTGATTAGGCCATTGAGCATTCCTCCTGAGAAGAGACCAAGGTCTCAGGGATAGCTTAGCTGTTGCAAGCATATAGGGGAGTGAGGACTGGCTGGGATAAGCCAACCCATGTCCTCTGTGCAACATCTCTTGTACATAGACCAAGACCCTCACCACAGACTGAGCTATCCACATTCCTGACCAGCCAGAACAGTGGGTCACACACACATCCTTTCTTCAGCAATGACCCAGTCTTAGGCATTTTAGCACAACAACACGATAGGTTTCCAGGCCACCTCCCTGGGGTCTGCAGGCCAATCTCCCTGCACCCATGCCTTCCAAAGGCCTGGCCACTATGTAGACTGTCAGAGGGTCAAGGACAGGAGCTCATGGTAATCAGCGAGCAGAGATGCAGACCAGCTTACAAACCCCATCCAGTGTCAGCCTGCAGCAACAGAAGGGCATGGCTTCTATGCCCATAAAAAGTACCTACCTCTGAACTTTTTAAATTTATGTTTATTTTTATTGGAACGGCAGATATACAGAGAGAAAGAGAGAAAGATCTTCCATCCACTGGTTCACTCCCCAGTGGCCACAACAGCTGGAGCTGAGTCAATCCAAAGCCAGGAGTTTCTTCTGGGTCTCCCATGTAGGTACAGGATGCCAAAAGCTTGGGCCATCCTCATCTGCTTTCCCAGGACACAAGCAGGGAGCAGGATGAGAACTAGAGCAGCCAGGACATGAACTGGCAACCACATGGGATATCGGTGTATGCAAGGTAAGGACTTGAGCCACAAGATTACCACACCAGGTCCACTGTTGAACTTACAAACCTCATTGTACTGTACTGAGTCAGCAGATGGAAGATCTCTCTCTCTCTCTCTCTGGTGCTTCTCCTTCTAACTATGACTTTCAAAATACATAATTTTTTTTCTAAAAAATCCTATTTCATAAAGACTACTATAAGGTGCTTGATTTGGAAAACATAGTACCATATAAAGTTTCATAAATGCCTTCAGTGACACTGCAACCAGGGTCTTTTTTACAGGTTGTTTACACACACACTGTTTCCAGATCTTCCCAGCTCCTATCAGAAAGGGAAAGGTTGAGTAAATCATGGTAATTCCATGCAGCCACTGCTGACCTGGAGACCCAGGGACCCAGCGTCATTCGCAGCCCCTGGTAAGTAAACCAGAAACATCAATAGAACCAAATGCTCTCAGCAGCAATCTCCTTCCTTTCAAAGCCTGTCTACCTGGGATCCCCCACCCATCTGCGCCACACCAGCCTGCTCCCAGTACCCCACCCTTTGCCCCAAACAACACAGCACCCAGGCAGTGCTGCCACCCCTGACCTTCCCCAGGTTTCCCTGTCACTGCTCAGTGCTGGCTTTGTGCCCTCCATTCCCACCCTGCTGGGCCTTTCCCAAGCTCCCCTCACATCCCTTAACTCTGCTATGCAATGAAGCATTCAGGAGCTCCCCTGCCCTCAACCTCAACCCCAAATACAGCCCAGCCAGAAACATGCCAAGCGAATTCATAATCTCCCTTGCCCACCCCCACCTGCCTCGATTCTCATCCAGGGCCTCGTGTCCCAGGGACATCCCTGAGGACAAGCCCACAGTGAGTGGGAGTGGCTTTCCCTTGTAAATGCACGCACAGGATGAGGCGAGGCCAATAGTAGGTCCTCATGCAGGAGAGTGCAGCAGAATCATGCCTTGTCACCTGCTTCCTAAAAATAACCATGGCCTTCCAGAGACATAGCACACTCATATGTGCCATCATCCCTCACCCATGCACATCCTTTTTTCCCCCTCTGGAGACGCCAGGCCCAGGTCTAATGAGCCACTTACCCTCTCTGTGGATGCTCTCATTCAGGTTTCTCTCCTTCAAACCATTCTCCCCACCACAAGCCAGCTGCTAGGGGCAAGGAGCCTCTCTTCCCCCTCTGCATTTCCCCCCTCCTTTACTGCTTAGGCAGTGGGCGCTGGAGAGCTGGACACAGAGCCAGGCCTCTCCTACTGCGCAGGCCTACCTGGCTTCGTAGCCAGCCGCAGCGATGCACCCATGCTATGGACAGCATCATGCAGCCCCTAACTCCTCTTACCCCTTCAGCCTACACCTGCTCACCTGATCGGCACCTGAGGCAGGCCCTCAGAGCATCTCTAGTCACCTTCAGCCTGTCTGGGGTGACCCAGCACACACAGGGCTTTGTCCCCTGCTGCCTCAGCTGTCTCCACCCATGATTTCTTCCCATCAGTGCAGACAAGGCCTGGATATACTGCTGGAATTCTCCCCAGGTGACCATCAGACCTGGATTTCCTAGGTGGTGGGGTTAGGGTCAGCCAACGTGGAATGGTCTCAGTGGTGATGTTAGGATATTTTACTGAGTTTCAAAAACTTAGGTTAAGTCCATGAACTCCCACCCAGCAAAGTTCAGGTCCCCCATGGGACCTGACAGCTATCCTATGTGAGTGTCACTCAAAGTCCTGATAGTCAAAGGGACCGTAGAGTATTGCAGGGAAAAATCCAGAGAAATTGGGCCAGCTCCCTTGACTGTGATTGGCAAGTATATGGGTTCACACACACACACGCTCTCATGGGACCAAGTGCTAGGAACTGAAGCTGACAGCTAGAAAGGAGCAAGGAGGGGGGTTGATTTCCAGAAGGGTCTGAGCCTGCAAAGACTTAGCAATTGCCCTATCTTGTCGCAATGAGCTGCTTTCTCCTCTTTTGCAATGAGTTCCTAAGCAGAAACCACAATAAACCAGTCCTGGCTCAACTCTTCCTTCAGCCATCCCAGACTGATCCAGAACCACCCAACCAAGGCATCACTAATCAACCCCAATCAACCCCAGGTTCCCAGGAATGGCAATCTAGGAGAGGCCCTCTCCCCGCCCCCTGCACAACCCCCCCCCCCTCCCCCGCCGGTCTGGCTCCATAAAGGAGGCATTTCAACCTCCAACAGCTCCTTATGCTCCTCTCTGTCCAGGTTCATTTCCACCTCACCCCACCCACCTTCTCACCCACCTTGGACTCTGCCTATCCAGCCTGTAGGAGTTAATATTTTAACCGGAGGGCAACCACTTCCCTGATTTGCTTCTGGCATTCAACAGACAATCTCCTGTGCACCCACTAAGATAAGGCCCATCCCAGGGCCCTTCAAGACATCAGGAGATGAATCAGAAATAGCCCCCACCCTGCACAACTGAGGGTGAGACCATGGCCCTCCAAACACAAGACAAGGTGAGTCACAGACGAACAGAACAGGGCTGGGTGCTCCTGTCGGTGCCCAGGGAAATACCTGCACGGCTCCCAGGAGGGTGGTGGACGGGCCAAATTGGGGTCATGCGGACAGAGCCATGTGTAATAAGACAGAGGGATGGTTCTAGAAAGGAGCAATTCAGCTCAGCTAGTGAGGGTGGGAGGAGAGCTGTTAACCATGATTGCCTTACACATCCACACAAAGTTCATTCCTAACATTCCAGGCCCTGCTTTACACCTAAAGGGGGAGGGGGCCACACACCTGCAACACACAGGTATAGTGTACTGGTGACCACACAGTCCAGGTGATCAGTATCTGAAACTGGGATGGCCACTAAATACCTTCACGACCACCTAGGAGTAGGTGCTCTCATCATTTCCACTTTACAGAAAGGGAGACCAAAGCACAGAGACCGGTCTGACCAGGAAGTGAGTGCCCACTGCCCAGGGTCCTCAGCTGGCCTCTGGATTCAAGGCATAGCTGGTGCCTAGGGGGAGGGGGCCCTGCTAAGTCCTCTGGAATCCCCCCACCACTGAATGTAGCATAAGGAGTGAGCAGTGTCACAGCCTTCAGTCCCGGTGGGCCGTGCCCAGCTCACCAGGCCCAGGCAGGGCAGCGGAGTAGCAAGGAGTGAAGGCCAGCAGAGGGGGCCCAAGAGAGGGGAGCCCGGGCAGGGTCTGTCCTCAGGCGAGGTCCCCGGGTTAGAGGGGCGGGACTGTTTGCAGCTAGGGCCAGCGCCACCGGCTGACCCGATCTACTCCCCCACCCCCTGCACAAGTCCAAGGAAGAAGGCCAGCAGGTCGGGACAGTCGCCTGAGGTGAATCTGCACTCTCCCAGCCCCTCGGCTACTTACAAGGAAGCTGCAGCGGCGGCCACTCCCAGGAACGTCTTCCACCCAGTTCAGGGGCAAAGACCTTGAGGGCAGATCCTCAGCTCGCTCGGCTTTGCACCGGGCCACGAAGGACGCACACGCTGGACAACTCACCTGGGCCGGAGGGGGGCCGGGGTCGCCGGCCGGCCGTCGCCTTCTGCCCCGCGGGCGCCCCCGGCCCAAGCCCTAGCCAGGCCGGGACGGAACCGCTGACCTCCGGCAGCACCGCACGGCCACGTGTCCCGACCACGAGGGCCCCAGTGCCTGGGCACCCCCAGCCCTACCGGGACGGGTAGCCAGACCAGCACCCCTGCCCCAAGCTGCGCAACCAGGAAGCCGCCTGGCCCAGCCGGGGCAGGGGAAAAACCTCAGCGCACTTGCCGCCGCGGCTCCTCACTCACCTGGCTCCGGTGAGCGGTTCTCTGGGAGGACGTTTCGGGCGCCGCGCCCTACTTCTTGAACCAGGAGCTCGGGGACACTGCGGGGATCGGAGAAGTCGCAAACACTAGTGAACGCGGGTTCCCCGGCCGTCAGGGCGAGGCGGGAGGAGGCGGAGCCCGCTGGAGCGGAAAACTCCGCGGGTGCGGCCGCCCCCACGCGCCCCGGGGCGGAGCTGCGGGAGAGGGGCGGGGCTTGTCCAGGAGCGGGGCCAGGCAGAGGGGCGGGGCCAGGCAGAGGGGCGGGGCCTTCCCATTGCGGACCGCCTCCGAGGGGGTGGGAACTGCGCCCAGGAGGGCCACTCCGAGGGGCGGGGCCTGCACCTGGGCGGTGTCTTCGGGGGGCGGGGCTGCGCCTAAGCGGTGCCTTGGGGCGGGGCATCTTTGAGGGGCGGGGCTGCTCTCGGGAAGGCGGCCTGGGGCGGGGCCAGCGGCCTGAGGAGAAAGACGCGGATCTCGGCGCTGCCCTGGGCGGGAGGAAGACGCTGCGGGCTCCGCCAACTGCGTTCCCCGGGCTGGCCCGGCCCGGCCCGGCCCTGCCCTGAGCCGCATTCGCCCTCTTGCAACCCCGCGTGCGTGTTTTGCGACTTTTTTTTTTTAGATGGAAGAAAACTTCCCATATTAAAATGACCCCACCCTTTTGAGGCGTGACGAGGCGGAAGGCGGGGGCGAAGGGGATAGCTTGAGGATGGAAACGCCTCAGCAACTCCCTCAGCCGGGCGACCAGCGTCCACGTCCACAGTAATGAAACTGGTTGTGAATCTGCGTGTGTTCGAAGTGCCATTCCTCGGAAACCAGGGCGCAGCACCCCACGCACGGTATGAGAGAAAACAGCTCCGAGGCCGGCTACTGACGCTCACCCCTGGAGGCGGCAGGTGATGGCTCCAGTACCTGGGTCCCTGCCACCCACGTGAGAGACCCAGGTGGGGCTTGTCTCAGCTCTGTGCTGGCAGAAAGTATATAGAAATTAATTGAATACAAAATAACATTTTTAATATTCAAAAAATAAACCCAGATTTGCTCTTCATTTCCCCAGCCCCAGAACTTTCTATAGCTAGCTAGCTAGATACATACATACATCATATCTAAGCAAATGAATTTCACCAAAAGGGTGTTGCAGTGTTTTTTAATTCACTCTATTTTGAGAAATATCCATGCTAGCATACCAGCATAATCGACCTGCTTTTTGCATCAACATGTGCCATCATGCGCCTCACCATTTTTTAATTACTAGCTCCTAAATAATGCACCTTTTGATGTTTGCCCATTTTTGTTTGTAAAAACAAGCTTCCGGTTGCTATTTGCATTGCAAGGGGAGCACGGAAGCTTAAGAGCAGGAAAAACTTAAGAGGAAAAGCTTAAGAGCAGGAGTGAGAGATAGGTGTGGAGATGCTGCAACCCAAGCTCTGTCCTCCACTGCACAAGGACAAGGGTTGTGGGTGCCGGGAGGCAGGCGCTACCAAATGCCTGCACGACCCCGCGTTGGGGATCCCACAAGAAGCCCTTTGGAGTGGGCTTGGGGCTGACCATGCAGGTGGGGGTGTCATCTGGCACAGCCGTGTTTGGGGCTGGACAGCGAAGTTTGGACAAGGGTGGGCGAGTGTAGGTGCAACTCAGGCCAAAGGCATCGAACCACCCTAGAAAAGCGGCTGTCTCCTGCCCCCAGACGCGGGAGTAGGGCGGTCGGGGCAAAGGGGAGGAAGATCCTGGCTGAAAAGATTCTAGCATGCTAGTCGGCGCGTGAGTGCACACAAAGCACTCGGGTGCGCTGATGCCAAGTCCCAATGCACTGCTCTGGGCTGGCTCTGGCGGCCTGGCGCTGCAGTCCCTCTTCAGCCCCTCACCGTCTGGCTCGCATAGCCTGCGCTGCCCGCACCTGCCGCGGCAGCAAAGACGGGCTTGCTTGCACGGCCCACTTGGAACGTTTCTTCGAACACCACGTTGAAACATCATAGGCCAATCTCCAGGGATGGAATTCCTTCTGAATGTAGCACACACTTCATTGCTGCCTTCAGAGCCCTAGACCAGAGCACTGAGTAGAGCTGCCACGGGGCTCGGGGTCTAGGGATTTCCATGAGATGCCAGGGTGAAATGAGATGCCAAATGCCTGCTTGCATTTGGTGCCTCAGATAAAGTCCTTAACCTTGTCCCTAACCTAATGAAGAAACAAAGTACATTTTCTCTTATAAAGTTTATGTTGCCACATCAAACAAAGACGAAGGATCTGGGGGGTGGGTAAAAGGCTTCTGATGGGGACTTGGCAGGGAAAAAAAGGCTCGACTTTTAGTTTTTGTAAATCATAATAATTCTTTAAACCAATTATGTATTGCTTTCATTCCTACTTTTACCCCTGTCGATTTGGCCTTCCTACTTTTTGGTGTTTTTCTGGTTTCTGGAGTCAAACATTAGGGCCATATATCTTCAAATTCTTTTGTTGTTATTTCTAACAGGATTGTATGGCCATAAATGTCCCTCTAAATCTTACTTTGGCTGTGTACTTTCAGTTTTTGTACATCAGGGATTTTGTTCTTTCTAGGTTATAAATGTTTGGGACTTTTGTGTTGTTGTTAGGATTGTCATCCTTAATTCATGAATTATTTAGAAGCCAGTTTTCTATTGCTTGATTTGGTTTTGCTCCAAACTTAAGATTTTAAAAAAAATGTCATTGACTTTTAATTTCAATGCCATAAAGATGAGAAGTGTGCTGCTTTTAGGATTTGTTGAGACTCCCAGCATGGTCTAATATGCAGACTTCTGGCCACCCCAGTTTTGGTAAATGTGCCCTGTACTCTTTTTTTTTTTTTTTAAGATTTATTCATTTTTATTGGAAAGGCAGATATACAGAGAGGAGGAGAGACAGAGAGGAAGATCTTCCGTCTGATGATTCACTACCCAAGTGACCGCAATGGCTGGTACTGCACCAATCCGAAGCCGGGAGCCAGGAATTTCTTTCCGGGTCTCCCACACGGGTGCAGGGTCCCAATGCTCTGGGCCATCCTTGACTGCTTTCCCAGGCTACAAGCAGGGAATTGGATGGAAAGTGGAGCTGCCAGGATTAGAACCGGCGCCCATATGGGATCCCAGCGCGTCCAAGGTGAGAACCTTAACCACTACACCTTTTGACCCAGCAGTTAAGATGCCTTAAGACACCTGCATCCTACATCAGAGTATCTGGGTTCAGCATCCAAGCCACACAGCTCCTGGTTCTGGCTTCCTATCAGCACAGACTCTGGGAGACCATGGTGATGGCAGATAGTATAGTTCCTCCCACCCACGTGGAAGATACAGATTGAGTTTCTGGCTTACAGTTTAGGTATGACCCTGTCCTGGCTGTTGGAGCCATCTGGAGAGTGAGTTAGCCAGTGGGCAGGCATTTGTATTCTCTCCCTCTCTTTCCTTGTCATTTTAAAAATAAACTAGCCATCTTTCATCCTGATTTTTCCCTCCTGGGTTCTGCATGTCAAGGAGTTAACGCTTTCTGCCCAGCCCTCTGTGCTAGAGAGTTGAGAGCTACTGGAATCCCCTCTGCCAAAATTACCCATCATGTCCTAGCAACAGCCCTTGCTTGCATGGGCTCCTTACAAGGTCAAAGTGGAAAAGGCTTAAGCAATGTCTCATTGGTATGTGTTTGTAGAATTTACAACAGTCAGCTATTTTAAGGACAAGGAGTTGAGACAGTTGGCTCTTTCCATGCTGGCATCCTCCTTCTGTCATTTCTCTTCATGGCCCTGTGTTGCAGTGACCACAGGCCACCTGGGGCTCTGGCTAGGAATGGGAGGTGCTTAGGTAGTTTGTACTTACTTCTGTGTATACATGCCTGACTGTTTGTCTCCCCTGTGTAGGGGCAGCTTCTGGAATACTGTTTGGATGCAGTCAGTAGAGCCAGAGATATCTCAACAGTAAATGTGTCCTACACCTGTTTTTTAGAAACATGCTGGTAGTGAGGGTGAAACAAGATGTGTGATATGGGTAGGGCCAGGAATGAGTCTGTGGAAAGCTCTATCAGCCATCACATGTAGAAGAAAGCAGGTCTATATTCTTCATGCCTGTTTACCATGGAGGTTTTAGAGTAGGTATCTGGCCTGGCAGTTAAGCACTGATTAGAAAGTTCACTTTCCACATCAGAGTGCCTGAGTTCAACCCCTAGCCCCAGCAGGTCTTCATAGCTGCCAGCTAACATAGACTCTGTGAAGCAACAATGAAGGCTCAAGTGCTTGGGTTCCCACCATCCATGTGCAAGATCTGGACTGAGTTCCTGGCTTCACCCCTGAGCTTGTGCCCTGCCACTATTACAGGTGTTGGAAGAATGAACTTAGATGGGAGTTATCTCTCCCTCCCTCTCCCCAGTCCAATATATTACACAAAACAAATATTACACAAAAACAAAACCTTAAAATGGAAATTCTTTCCCATGGATATGTACTCAATAAATCAACATACACAATTATAATACACAATTGCAAATATAAGCACCATATATCTGTTTTCTAAGCCATTTCAGGAAGTAGGGTTCTGCTTAGTTCTCTTATAGAAATTCCTAGTCCTTTTCATGGCAGTGAGCTGAGCACATGCAACAGGCTGCCTCCTCAGCACCAAACTGCAGAAATGACAGGGAAGGAGACAACATTGTGTCTTCAAAAGCACAACCAGGAATGTTTAAACAACCCTGTGTGTGAGAACTCCTGTATGGTAAAGCACAGGCCATGGGGGTACTTCAGACAGAAGTATGCTTGTGTATGGAATGGTCTGTTCAGCCCAGCATGTCTGACTGTATCTTAGCTTATCTGACCTATTTTAACCGGTTGAGATCTGCACAGAAGAAATTAAGTTCTTAAGACCTTAATTGGAAACATTTTACATCTACAAGGAAATATGAAACTCTGTCCACTACTACAATAAGAACAACCATGGCCAGCTGGCTAATACTTGTATCCAAGAAGGAATATGATGAGATGCTGTCTAGGAGTACTTAGAATGTTCTAGTTAGTAACCATCAAAATTTGCTTACTCTTGCCAGTGATACTGTTTGTGACTAAAATAGCTCACTTCAGTAAATTTTACCAAAATATGTGAGCCTAATGAAAAAATGCTGGAAAAGAAAATAATATTAG